CGGGGGGACGAGAATCGCCGCCATCGGCGGGGGGGTTGCAATGGCGAACCCCACAGCGGCAGCCATCACGCACGTGTTTCACAACAAGCAGGAGTTCCCCTTCGCCACGCGCGTGGACGATCTCCTCGTGCTGTCGATCGCCGGCGCAGAATCCGAACTCACCGTCCGATCATCGCACTCAACCGCTGAGATTTTACGGATTGCCGGGAATGGGATGGCTGACACTGTACGTATAGCAGTACATTCTTCTCCCGCCAGTTGTTTTTCAACTTTTTGCAGATATACCCTCCCTCACCTTCCTCAAACCTAATTATGAATTTACCAAAAGACCCCTCCACTATCTTCGTACGAATTTTCAGGTCGATCAAGCCATGGCGATGGCCTTTTCTCAGAACAGTAAAAACAACCCCAACTATCTCCGTCTTCAGGTAAGATTTTACAATTTCAATCAAAACTTCTCAGAAGTTTGTTTATCCTCAGTCTTTCATTTCAAATTATATCAAAACTGATTCAAATTTTGAATTAAATTACAGCTTCTTGGCCTGGGCTTAGACAACACAGAAGGCACAAATCGAGATGCAAAGAAGATGATGCAAACAGCAGAAGCAATATTAAGCCAGAGAAATGTAGAATCGGTTCTGTTTCAGGGCAAGAGACTCTCACAAGAAACCTACGCAGAGAAGCTCGATCGGTTCGCAGGTGAACTGTTACAAGAACACGACAAGAGGAAGAAATCTCGAATTCCCACCGTCTTCATCAAGCAGATTATGACACCAAGAACATCCTCTTCAACAACCACCACCACCAGCACTACCATATCAGGTTCTCTCCCGACCCAATAGCACCCGTTTGTAACACGATAAGAGAAAACTTACGTTGATTTCCGCCATTTTTCCTGATTTATCGGAAAAGTGCGCTGTGGTTAGCGGGAAGGGAGTTTGACTGTTTGAGAGTGGGTTGTTAGTTAAAAAGTTAAATAACTCGTTTAGGTGAAGCTGGAAGATGCTGTCGTTGTTGTGGCTGTAAAGATTCTCTGTACCGTTGCTTTAAATAAAATTATTAATACGACGTGGGCCGGCTGCTTCGTGGGCCATTAATAAAGAGGCGTAATGGGCCGGTGTCCGCCGAAACTCTCGGCGACGGTCCCCCTGTGGGGTCAGCTAAAGGCCCGTCATCTCTGCCGGGGACGCACGTGCGACGGAGCCGTGTCGGCTAGGCATGCATGCACGTGTGGTTGAGTCAAGTGGGGCTGCTAATGAACCCGCCACGTCGGCATGTCACATTTCTCAAATGTTTTATCTATGCATTGTATTTGGTGCGGTTGAACGAAAAGGGGTGCTTAATGTGTATGGAAACATGTGGTGTCACTTTTTCCCTCGAAATGAAAGGTCTCCAATTTCGACAAATCTAAAACTTTGTGCCTATGTTCGCGCACGCCCAGATCAAGCAATCCAAGCACAATTTGACATTTTCAACCAAGTATAAATTTGATATTTTTATAATCAAATCAAAGGAGTTCAATGAGTCAAATAGCACTCAATTATCATATCATTAATGCACTTGAATCTTTAAAAAAATTATATTGGCCGTCCAATCAGATATTTGGAAAAGTTATGTATCAAAAGATTAAAATTTCACTCCCCTAGAAGTCATAAATACATCTCGTCTCTTCAGGGTCCATGAATTTTAGAGCCCATGTTGGACTAAAGACCCAAAGGTCATTCCAGGCCACCATAATCGTTGACAACTTTTGGCTATCACTCTTTGCTATGGTCGACATTATACAATAGGCGATCTCTATTTTCAAGCATCATATATTAAATATGATTATAACCTATAACATTAGCATTGAAGATACAATGATACACGTCAATCATTGTTAACCAACATGGGTCGACTGTCACCACACATCATCGCTTGTCGCAATCGACCTCTGGCCGCTGCTAAGCACTGCTAATTATCGTCGCAATCACAATACAATAGGGGTTCCTACACTTATACTTTTTTACATTGTATAAAAATAAGCATAATGTTTAAATGTAAACTTGTGTAACTTCGTTCTCTTTAGAGTAGAGTTAATGTGGCTAATTGCTACTGCAACAATTTTCAACTACGACTTGCGTGATCAATTGATGATATTGCAGTCATTAACTACGGTCTTTATGATCAATTGACATTATTACAACTTCCAACAATGACATATGTGACCAACATTATAGCCACCGACTATAGTCTTTTTGTCCAACCATCGCCTTTGTAGTAATCAATTACTATCTTTGTGGCTAAGTATTCCTATTACAGTCAAGAGCCGGATTTATTATAGCTCAATTATGACTATTTTAGCTAAACTACTGTTGTGCATCTCTAATGATTAGTTTTGTAATTTAATGTCTCTAATCCAGGAGAAGAGACGACCTATGCACTTATAATTACATAATGATTTATTTTAATTAGGTTAGGCTCTGTAATTTTTTTTTTCTTTCATAGGATTTTCCATATAAAAATTTTAACGTCTCCTACTGTTTATTTTATCCATGTGTGAGCTTGTTTTTAGGAAAAATTATTCCGTGCGGACACCGCATGCAGAGATGCATGCGGTGTCCGATCTCCACCGTTCATCACGGGTTCCGTGAGATTTTTTATTTTTTTTATTTTTAAAAAAGTTAAAAGTGGATCCCACCAAACCCGTGATGGAGGATGGAGATCGGTGTCCGCACGGAATAATTTCTCTGTTATTAGTGCAACACTTGCAACAATAGTTATTGCGTATCTAATACAATATTATTAGGCCTACTAGGCGTTCATGAAAAGAACAAAAACTCATTTTTGTATCACTCAATTGTTGTAAGAACATTGAGTTATAAAAATATAAATTATTTAATTTGAATTTAATTTTTTGGAGTATAGTGTTCTCTTCGTAATAAATGGGCTAAGAATATCTTCACAATTTAATTTATTTTTTTTTTATATCATAAAATTCAATTGAATAATTTTAATTCTTGTCATATTCTTAGCATACTATATATCTATCTCGTCATAAAGGCAGTCTGATAAGAACTAAGGGTTCGTCCTCCACCCTTTTTTTTTTAAGGAATTACCAATCTGAATTAATCATGTCCATTTGAAATAAGACGCACATTAATATTAATATTTTTAATAATTCAATATACAATATTTTAATTTAATTATTTTTAATAAGATTTGAAATTTAAATTTGAGATGTAATATTTTACTCATATTCTCAAAATTTAATCTAAATTGTTTAATTTTAAAATTTTAATTAAAACTAAAACATCAAATTAAAATTAGAAGGAATAATTAATAATTAGTAGCATCAAACAAGTTTTAAAAAACCGATCAACATCAACATTTTGGCTGGTTGTTTATAGAAATAATTTTGGTCCTCAACTGAGCTGGTCAGAGCACCAATTCACGATTGAATCGTCCTGATCCAGTCGAGATGTTTTTTTTTTTTCTTAGAACATTTGTAAGACTTTATCATAAACAAAATTTTGCGGATATTTCAAATTTCAAAACAGTTCATAAAATGGTTGTTACTCTTTTTTCCATGATAAAAGTTCATTGTTTTCCATGATAAAAGTTTAATGAAATAACTTAGTTTAAGTTCCCATTTTTTATTTCTCTTTCTCAAATTATACTACCATAAATACTCTTATTTTAGGCCCAATTTAAAATATTAATACCCAATTTCATTTTACCGACATTTATAGAATCATAACAATGTTACTTATCACCGAGCGATAGAACTATGTTATGGGATGCTAAGATATCCTAGTTTAAAGTATTATTTGGCAAATTAATTATTTATACATCCTTTTTTATCCCTCTTATAAATTACCCTATAATATATTGATTATCATGATCAAGATGATTGTAGACTTTATCGTGTTCTTCGGTTGGATTCTCTAATGTTGCACACCATGATTAATGGATTAAGGATCAATTTCTATTTTTTTTTAATCCTTAGGAATTGAATTATGCTCCTATAAGAGAATTTGATGCTTGTTTCTACCATATAAAGATTTCTATGGCGCTTTTAGTATATGGTGAATACTTTTATGATCATTTACAACTAAACTTGCTATCACCTAAATAAAAATTATGTATTAAAATTTCCTTGACAATGAAAAAAGAAACCTAGTGGAGTTCTATTACGAATTAAGTTAGTTTTCTTATTGAAAAATAGAAAGTATTAATATCTTAATCCTTAATGGAGTGAAGAGTTAAAGCTTGAACAAAAGGAATATTTACATGCATGTCAATCAATTCCTTTGTATTACACATCTAATTCCTAAATTTCAATTTTTACCTATGCAAGGAAACTAGAAAAAGTGTCTTTCGCATTTTAATGACATTTTTCATGTAAGACAAATTGTAAAAAAGTAAAATTTCAAAGTTAGATATGTAAATAGAAAGAAACTAGGACAGTCCATAGAGGAGATAAATGCCATATCAATTAATGACACTATAGTAATAATGTTGTATTATGTTAATAATGGCTATATACCAAAGCTTATGGAATGGCCCATAATTTGGTCCACCTCAACCATCCCCTTCAAGTTTCCTCATAACTACTCAATGAATTGAAAGGCTTTGTCAGCATTAACCTGTTTTGCACAAATTAATGATATTAATTTTTCATCATAAAAGTTAAAGAAATGGTCCCATTAACCATCTTAAGCCACAAAAAGCCTCTTTAGATTGTTCTTCTACTTTATTAGCTAACCAATATCACTTCCATTTAGAGCATAATTAATCAAGTTAGCTCTAGCAATTAATGAATGAAAACCTCCTTTTTTTTAATCAACTTGTAGTTCTAGCTAAAAAAAATTGCATTTTTGAACAATTTTTTGCTAGAAAAGAGAAAATGGAGGCCGTTGGTGCAAATAAAGAATAAAGATATCTTATTTTATTGCATCTTAGACTAAATAGTATTATTCATAATCAATTTGTAATTATATTAATATGAAGTTACCAAAGACTCATATATAACATAAAGAGAAGATCAATGACTATAAGATTGTTTAGACATATAAAAGGAAATATTGATGGATGAAATTGAACGATTAAAAAAAAAGATAATAAATGAAGCAAGAAAAAAAAGGAAAGAAAAGAAAATATTGCCTTTCTAATTGAACACTAAGACAAAATGGCAATTCATTGAATTGCAATACCTAACTATTAGGTTTTTATTTAGCTCATAATTATTATGAGTAGAGCCAAAAGCCTATTAAGTTTTGTGGATTCAAGGAAAATTATATGGTGAGAATATAAAGCTAGTGGTTACGAATAGGAAGGTTGATTTATAAGCTACTATATTACATCACCTTTCAGTTTAAATGATATATAGGGACCAAGCTTGTTGAACCACTCATGCACAAGAAATTACTACGCCTGGTGTCTGCACGTCCGGCGAAAATCCGTCAACATGAAATGCACGGTGACACTTGAAGTAATAATTTTCCCTCGCATATTAGGAAGGAGAATTTGGGATGAGAGCTTATCTTGAGAAAAAAAAATAATATAAAATTTTAACACTAATCAAAGTTGAGCCGCATCAATGAGGAAGTTATGAGCCCTACTTCAATAAAATTCGATCTTTAGACTGATCCCAGCTAAGCCTAAATTAGACTGAGCCTGCTAACAAACATCTCAAAATGCTAATTATTATTATTATTATTAATTATAAGGGAAATTTACATACAAGCCACACAATTCTTACGTATTTGCTATCTAACACCAATAATATTATATTACACTATGCTTGAAAATGTGTATTTCAAGCAAACTTAGGAACAAATCAGTTTGGGCCTTGAGTTGATTTCTAGCCAAGTAATAACTATGAGCTGATTTCAAGCTAAGAAAGGATCTACTACTCTAAATCGAAATATATAGATTTCAACTTGTAAATGTAACGCAGTAATTTATATAGATATAATGGACATGAACCTCTGGGTTTGAACGTCTTGTTATGTGAATGTCTTTACATATAAAAATTTAGATGTAAGATATGTAAATACATGGAACTGTATGGTATGTATGTAAATATGCCATGTTTTCAATGTGAATGCTCTTTTAGGGTTTGAATTAAAGTGTGATATTAGGCACAAATTTGTGAACGTGGAGGGCTAATTCAAAGCTCCTTATTTAGTGGTCCTCTTTGTGATTTTTTTTTTTCCTTCTTTTGAGACAAAACAATTATAATTTTTTTCAATTGTAGGAAGCCATAGAAAATAAAAAAAGCGCATGAAAGACAAAAATTTTTATTTTATTTTTAAATTTTTAATTTTTTTTCCTATTTTGTATGAATTATTATGCATTTGATTGGTTTATTTTGGTTATAGAGGGGGTTAGGGCTGTCAAAAAAGCTCGTTGACTGCTCGTGTTTAGTTGGTTAAGTAGCTCTTATTTGGCTCATTCGTTAAGAAGAAGAGCTTAATACGAACCATTTTTTTAAGCTCAAATTATGAACAAGCTGAACACGAACAGCTCTTTGTTGGCTCTTGTTCGGCTCAATTTTAGCTCGAAATAAAAAAAAATCATATAATTATTTTTATAATAATATATTATATATATTTATATCTTAGTTTAAATCATAACTACTGGTGTGTTAATGTGTTTATATGCATTCTTTTGCATATATTTGGTTTAGGTTCGAATCTAACACTCTACATTTTTTTTTTTTTAATTATTTCTAATAAGTCAATTCCCAGCCAAACACGAGCCGAACAAAAACAAAAATATTTAAATCGAGTCGAACAAAAACACACTGTTCACGAGTTGATTTCAAACACGAACGATTTTGAACGAGCTGAACACGAGCCCAAGCCGAAGCTAGCTCAAGCTCGGCTTATTTACAGCCCTAGAGGGAGATCCCATGGCATACCCATTTTAGTAGGTTCGATGTCAATATCGTTAATTAGTGGCTTAAAGACAAATTGGTTTTATTCATTCATAATTATAATGCAAACTTTTTGGTTTTGAGATTAGGACACTTTCATGGGTTTTTTGAGGCTCATGAGCCAATAAGCTCAAGCTAAAGTTTGTTTAATAAATATGCTTGAATTAGAGCACGAGCATATGCTCAAGCTCACGCATCAATAAGCTCGACTCATAAGCTCATTAACGAGTCGAGCTCAAACTAGTTCATAAGCCGGCTCAGCTCAATTACACCTGCCACACTTTTTAAGTAGGTCTTTGGGTAACAAAGTAAAGCCATGGAACCTCTCAAGATTTATTAACAATCTTCTCTGACTATTAAAAAAAAAAAATTAACCACTAATAAAAATAGCCCAATTTCTATATCCTCCCTAACTCGCTGCCTATCAACCATCCATTAGAAACACCACAAACGAGTCTTCGAGTGATACCATCACTTTCACGCAGCTCTTTCTCATCATAGTGAAAAGCCAACAGATTTTAATTTCCAGTCTAGCTTAGTTTATGGTCCTTTATGCAAGTTCACTATAATTTCAAGCACCCATAGCAATGTAATTCATTGAATATACAAATACAATTGCTGACAAAAAAATGTAATATAAAAAATGTTGATGTAAACAAAATCAATATAAGACCCGGCTCGGACCGGTGGTGGTGGCAAAAGCCAGCAGATGAATCGAACAAATTAGTTGTTTCTCAAATACACCAAATCTAAACTAAAAGACGGATTTTTAATTTAACAAAACTTCTAAGCTATTTTTTTGTTTTAATCCAATGAGCAGCTAAAATTTTAAAAATCCCTTGTATTTCATTTGTATTACACTCATGAGGCAACTAAAATATCACCAATAAATACTAATGCAAGTGTTCCCTCACTCTTGGTTGAATGTGCCATTCCAATAACTAAAAGCAGAGTTGGATGTAATTAGCTACCTTTAAGATTTAGGATAAATTCAATTTAATAAATCCACTAAATCCAGATTTATCAAATCCAAATGCTATAAATCCAACATAATGTTTGATTCAATTTAAGATTAAATTCATTTATGGTGTTTGGTATAAATCCACTCCTATGATTTTCTTGCTAAGCTAAATTCGACAAATCCGTGCAATAATCGGATTTAAAAAATATGTATTTACGTTAAAAAAAAAGTAATTGAAGGCAAAAAAAATTGAATTTAACAAAGCAAGGATTTAATTTGTTCTGCTGGAATTAAGTCAAATATTACGTAGATCCTGCTCAATTCCGGCTTACCAAATACCCCCTTAGTGTGGTAAGATGCATTATGTAAATGGACAAGAAAGCTAGAAAAAATCTACTCTAGACAACTAAGCAAAACCAGGCATAGCTTTGGGTTCAAGTTTCATGTCATATAACGTTTATGATTTTGTTTATAAGACAATTAGCAAGTAATTAGTGCCATAAGCTTCATGCATCAATAACATTAATTTTCTCACAAACTAAATTTTGCCAGCAATAAATAACAAAACAGTATTTATATACAAACCTCTGCCTGCCTCCATTTAAGAACTTTAATGACAAGGATAAGAGGGATTGGCTCATCTTTAAAGAAGCATGAGCAGGACAAGCCATTGCAGAACTGAACTAAAAAAGTGTTGTTTAATAGTGATTCACTTTTTACATATCTAACAGAAAAATAGGGCCATTTACATACATACATACCACACAATTCTTATGTATTTACATATCTAACACAAACATTCAAATCTTCAGCATCACATAAAAGTATCATCATCGGTATCTATTTAAGATAGTGAAATACACCATTTTGTGCATCAGTTTATGACACCTAGGTGTTGCAAGTGTAAATATCGAATTTTGAGTGTTAGGGATGTAAATACATAATAATTGTTTGATATTTATGTAAATTTTCAAAAAGTAATGTGTCGTCCAAAACTTGCAGTGGTTATAGTCGACTGATTATGTCAGCTTTTTTAGTACGTTTTTAGTTCTGGTTTGCAGGGCATACATGTAGATAGAAATTATATTTTTATACATATGAAATTAATATGAATTATAAATTTAATTAAAGTCTAGAATATAATAATCTGATTTTCAAGCACGGACGAATGAAAATAAAGTCACAAGTTCAGTGAGAAAACAATTTAAAACTCATAACAACAGTAATTATATGTTTATAAATATAATATAACCTAATGCCATATAACACTGGATTCCAATTATCTACAAGTGCAAGAGTTCATTTGCTCTTATTTAGTGTTTCAATCGAAGATTTACACGCATACCACTCAATTCCTATCTATTAACATATCTAACACCTAAACTTTAAATTTTGTACCACCTTACTTATGCATGAAAAGATGTACTTCACTGTTTAAAAGTTTAAATGATGGTAGGTTTTATGTGATATGAAAGATTTGAGAGAAATAAATGTGGAAAGCATAGTTTAGGTGTAGATATGTAGTTACACAGGAATTGGATTGTATATATGTAAATGCCCCAATTTCAATTGGCCACCTCCTGCCGCCTAGTTGTTATCCTCAGCGCCAAGCGAGCAATAGAGCTTGGCCTTTGGCTACATGCTCTCTTGGCGATGAGGATAACAATTTATTCTAACTCATGAGATTCAAGCCTATTTCTGAATACAATGCAAAACTTGCCACCACAGCTGGTGTCATCACTCGTCGCCACAAGCTGCCTGCGGCTGCCAACCACCTAAAATACTATATTTTAATTACATAGCATCATTTTATTTTGTATTCCTTTTGAAGCCAACAAAAGGACTCCTGAGCTAAGAAAACATATAGAAAAGATATTATGTGATGTCGTTTTGAAAAAAATGTTGCCCGCATACTTCTAAGTAGGCCTTAGATTTATGAAATGAATGTCACCCAAGAGCTTAGTTTGTCATTTAACAAGTCAAAGATCGGTTCTTAGGTTTTCTCCCTAATTTGCTTCATTACCAACTAAGCTCAGATGTGCATAAACAGATTAAATGACAGATTAACTAATTTCTAAAGGGATTTATTACTATGAAAAAGGATAGCAAGTGATTCACATGTGTGGATAATTGTGTTATCAATAAAATTACTATCAATTATAAGTTTTCAAACCTCAACTTGATGACATATTTGATATGATGGCTGATGTGACTATATATTATAAGATCAAACTAAGAAACACATATCATTGAATCTGTATGTGAAAAGGAGATGATAGAAAATGATCTTCAAAATGAATGATGATTTATGCGAGTTCTTGGTGATGAGATTTGTCTTAACCAACGCCTCCAACACATTCATGTGGGTGATGACTCATATTTTGCATCTCCATATCAGGAGATTTTTAATAGTATATCTTAATGCCGTTCTGATTATCAATCAAATTAAGTGCAAAAATACACATCATTTGTCGCAAGTTTTAATTTTTTTTTACCAAGAAAAGATGTTTTTATATTGAGAAGTGCTTGTTTATGACTTGAATGATTATAGGATTCATCATTTTTGAAGATAATGTCCCTGCAAACACAAATAAAACTAGGGTCAGTCAAGAGTACCTATTTCCACCATTATTTACTACGTTTGCAATTTTCATGGGCTAGCTACCCACCATTAGAGGGTTCATACATGGATTTAACCCCATTATGGCTCCAATCACCTGTTGTTTCAAAAAGGGCGAATTTTGTTTGGCAAAGAAAGCCACCAAAGCCTATTTAGGAAGAGTTCCATCAATATTAAACTTATCATATTTCTTTAAGCTATTTGAGGTATCCTGCAATCTCTTTAGAGTTGGTACAATTAGTGTCCTCAATTACTCACCTTCATCAACGAGACATTAAATGAAATGCAATAATATTACTCAATGTATGAACAAATGTTTGAAGTTGTCATCCAGACTCTCTGTTATTAAAGACATTGTCTCATTTTATAAGAGTTTTTGCTCCTCTCTGATCACAAAATTCTGAATAAATTAGCAACCAGAAGTAACTTAATTCCTACTATGCTAAATAAGTCTAATTTCTTCAAGGGTGTACTTCTGTTCTTAGCAAAAGGCTGGTGTTAAGAACAACGTTGTTATTTACCTAATAACAAGGATGTGCACACTTTATACTATGGGCATCAATATCCGTATATTTGATAAGGTCAAAAGCAATTAACTAGTTGGAAAAACTTCCATCAAATTTATAGCTCATCACCACCTCAATCTAACAGATACAAGAGAATTAACTCTTTAAAGGAGCATAATTTCATGTCCTAAATTCATCGTTTCGAGATTTTTTCATCGAGGAAACGCATTTGGAGACATGTCTAGCCACTTCGACCACGACAAGACAATAGCCACGGTGAATGATAGGTTAATTTGGCCTTAGCTACAAGTGGGATGCAGCCCGTGTTGTAGCTCCACCTCATAAGGAGAAAAAAAAATGCCAAATATAGCACACCCCTTCTAAGCTCATTTTATTAGGCTTCACATCAAGCGGGATAAAAATAACTTTCCCAATACATGCAATTGTCAATTTGTATCTTTTAGTACCTAATGTCTCCATCATTGAGTTGGTTGACTCTCTTTTCTATCTTCCACCCACATTCATCATAGAGACCATGGCCAACCTTGCTCTAATAACAATTGCTAGAAGAAAAAAAACACTTGATAAAAATGACAAAAAAAATAATAGAAAAATAATCTTCAAGGTGAATATTAAAATAATTATATAAGAGTTTATGTGTTTCAATGAATTCACCTATTCCAAGACTGAAAACAAGAAATAAATGATTACTACTTTATAAAGATTATTATAAGATAACAATATATTTACATGCCTCAAATATGCTCTATTTTATCTAACTAGAGTCCTCTCTCTTCACTCTCATTAGTTTCCATCTCCTCCTGATTATTAAAGTAACGGCTCAAAAAGCCAAAATTTCAATGAAATCACAAAGAATAATATTACTTATAATATATATAATTTAACATAATATGTGATGTGTGCCAGAAAATTCACGGCAGTAGAGTAATGGATTATTGTCTTAGCGTTACACGAGAATTCAATACACAAAAATAACAAAAAAGAAGTAAGCTGGAGGAGACAACTCGACTTTTTAAGTGGAAGACCCTTGAAATAAGAGAAAAACCACATAAAGGGAGAAAACCATGGGGCCTAGCCCAGTTGAAATAATCCACTATGAATGATGAGTACATAGATCCATGCTTCTCCTAAATTAGGAAAGATGAAATTATAAAGTTGTATAACTATAATCTGGCTACAGTTCTTGGTGACAGCAGGTTGCAAGAGTCATTATTGATTGTTGTGGAGGTAGTAGTTCATCGTGAGTGTTGTAAATGACTACTCCAGAAGTGTTGATTGGCCAAATAAACTAGTAAGCAATTACGGAAGTTGTGGTTCACATAGGCCGTAGTAGCGAGTATGAATGACGTCTGTAGGTCATCGGGGCTGAGCTGCTCGAGCTGTGAACCACGTAGGTTATTGTTGACACATGGACCGTAGTGATGAGCTCATGTCCCACGACGATGATTGAAGGTGTCTGATTGGTGGTGATCGACGATGATTGGTGATGATCAACAGTGACGGTCGACAGTGAATGACGGCGATTGACGAGTGTCAATGACGGCCCGGCAGTGGCCGATGGCGATCGACGGTTGTCGACGACAGTCGGGATGGTGTTGGACTTCAACTCCTCCTTAAAGCTTCTAGTTCTCTGAAGCTTCCATCCCCCCCTCATGTGAGGGGTGGGGCTCTATTTATAGTGTTTTGGGTGTCATTAATGCATGAATATGAATCATTTTGATCGGACGGTCCGGAGATCTTCCTCCAATCAAATAACGTTTAATGGACATTTGAGTGTCTTAACGATGTTGGAATTGCACAATCTTGGGCTCGTTGGATTCGTCTTATCGAGGGTCTCGATTCAACTATAAACTTGCTAGATTCGATAACCCTTTGACCTTCCAAATATGTCCGAAATTCTTCCAAGAATGGTTTAATGACTTGATCTGGGCTTGATTTGACTCAGTTTGGAATGACTTTGATATCATTAGGTCCGTCTCATCAAGTCGGTCAGTTTGACTATAAGTTTATTGAAATTGGAGCTCTAGAGGAGTTTTTACCAAGGTTTGAATATTCATTGCTCGAAATATTATTTCAAGATCTGTGTCATGCCTCGAGATTCATGCTGGATAACGAAGATTTGTTGGTGACGTATCAATATGACATTTTACTTCTTTTATTAAATCTGATGTTGGCCACCCCCTGCTCTAACAATCATCTTCCTCGCCAACTTAAACCGCCAATTTCCAGAACTTGACCTCCGACTACTTTCCTTCACTAGTCAAGATTGTTGACCTAGAAGAGCTTAACACCCTCCTAATCGATCTCGAATATTTTTCCATGTTATTGGCCATCTCCGCTTGAGCCAAGAGAGGTACATTAATCATTAGCACACCATAGACAGGTTCCTCTTCAAACAAGAGAAACTTGCTGCCCTCAATAGCATTCATAAAGAGAAGCTGAGAGTTATGCTATAATATTTGATTTCATTTACTACTATAGAGCATCATGAGGTGGTAGGTATGAGTTTAGATAAGCTGTGAATTTGATTGTTAGTTTTGTAAAAACCAAATTTCAAAGTCAAAAGCATCCTTTCTCAAAATCTTATACAAGATTTCCACGGATTTAAAATAACCTTCAATCAAACAGGGAAGAGAAAAACGTGAAATCAATAAGCTTCACACATCTCAACTTTTCCAATTTCCATATTTACACAATCATGTAAATATGGAAATACCAAAACAGAGAAAACTTTCACTTTCCTATCAAGCCAATATCACACAATCATGGTTGTGTGAAGCAAAATGCACAAAGAGCCATTGGTTGCTGTATTGTGTATTATCATATATTGTTATATACATTTTTACACATATTTCCATACATAGCAATACATAAAAAAATACGCTAATACAAAGCCAGGCGCATTTGATCATAACTAAGCTCATCAGATAATCTGCCAAAACTGATGAGAGGGAATGACGAAAAGGAATCTAACTTTGTAACATGGGAAAGAGAGAAAACATACGGATGTCTCGAGACATTTAGGCACTCCTCAAGATCAATGGGAATGTTGAGGAGCTATGTATATATATTTGCATGTTTAGATGTGAGACATGTAAATACATAAGAATTGTGTACTACGCAAGCAAGTGTACTACGCAAGCAAATTTCCAAAAAAAAAAAAACGAAAAGTCATGCCATCTTCCAAATCTTGCTTGCTAGTAGGGATCATCACACAACGCTAAACCTGCTAATAACTACCTTAGCTCAACTTCTGATCGTGCTTAGATTGTTCGCTGGACACTTAAGAATGAATTTGCAGCTTAAAAATATTAAAGAAATACTGGATTCATTCTTATGATTACTTATAATGCAAAAAAAAAATCTTTGCATGGGATTTTAAGGCTCCAAATAAAACTTCATAGTTCCTGTATATGTGGGCTCCGAAGATCCATGACAACTCTCTTCATTTGATTTTGTTTTTGAGATAGCTTTGGAGGGTCAAATCTTTAGAAGGAAGATTAGATTGTAGACAAGACACTACCCAAAGATTTTGCCCTCATTTTGAGGTGATTTTTTGACCTGGGGTTCGATGTTTCTCATAATCGCAAGTCCCTATGGTTAATTACCCCTCCCGAATAAGAGAACACTTTTCATTAAGACCAGTCATTAATAATTGAATATTCAACATATAATAACAGCCTTAGGATTAAAATGTAGAATTCATCTCTTGAAACTTAGAGCGGATGGTGGATGAATAAAGACGAAACCCGATCAAGATCATATAGTTTCGTCATCTCGGCTCGTCATGGTCCCTAATCTACCTAGTTAGAGGAGATAATCGACCCAACCTGACAGAAAGATTTTTATCAACAATCATGGGTTGCGTCATCCAAAATATTCTTGTAGATATGGGGTGAATATTTGTCTAAAAAAACAAATTTAAGTCGATCTTAGCTACATAAAGTTTTAGGACAAGCAATTGTGCCATTATGATTCAAAACTCACATGGTAGAAAGCCATTAAAGAACATACATGTTGCATCCAGAACCTTAAAATAATATTCTCATTTGGCAGCAATGGTTAGAGGGCTATGGTCAAAACCGCTATTTTGTCATGACCCGGCCTGGTGAGCTTGGAATTACTAAGGCGGGAACTGACGGTCGGACGAATGAGATATTATTAACAGTTTCATTTCATCACAAAAAATAAAAAATTCAAAACACAAAAGAGTCATTTTAATTCATACTTATATTTACAATAGATTGTTCATATTTAAACATTTACATTGAAATAAACTAAACCAAAATACGTATCAGCTAGTGCTCCACGGCGCCTATAAACGTGTTCCCTAGAGTCCATCCAATCTACAACTGATTATATTGTAAAAATATTAGCAACTATGGTTTGAATTAAAACTACTCAGTTAATAAATGTTTCTAAATTACAATAATTTTTATTATAAGATATTTTTGTAAATGAGTAAGAAAAATAAAATATTGTGCAGTAAATGAAGAAAGCAATTTATTTCATTTCATTTACTTATGTTACACTTTTCATAATTGGGAGTCACCGTCTAAATATATACTTTATAAAAATATACATTTAACATTTTCCAACCTACCATAAAGGTAAGCAACATTTTCCATTTTTATTTCTATTTCCATCTCTGTTTCCATTTCGTGCATGGGTAGATTACATCTCCCAGCCAGTACCATCCAGGGGTGACACCCATATGCATGCATATATCATATTTTATTCATTTTTCTCTTGCATTTATCATTTTAAAAAAAACTTGCATTTAACATTTAAAAGAAACATGGATTTTTTTGCATTTTAAAGATAAAAGTTGTAAACAGCAAAACATGTGTACATCAACAAAACTACTGTAAAGTAAAAAACATATTACTCACTTCAACAGTGTCATCTGCTAACCTTTTTCTCAAATCACTTAATCCTTGGGTACACTAATAAAAATTTAAATGAAATCAACTTCTTATTCAGTGTTAATCTTCTATCTGCTTAATTCTAAATTCTCTATTAGTATTTTCATAGTTTATTTTTTTAATTAACTATTTATTTACTTATATGAACATATATACATATATACAAGTGTCGCGTACTCAGATCAATTGGTCGGGCATCTGCTTGTCAGTTGTAAATCCCCTCTAGTCTGGGGTTTGATTCCCCCCGATGAAGGGTGTGATACTCGAATTGTTAGGCGCATCGGGGATGTCCAGAGCTCGTATAATAGCCTCGCTCGGGTCATTTCTTTTAATATATATATATATATATATATATATACATATCCAAATAATGATTTATGTTAAAACTTCTAACATTTTTCCTTTTTTGCATACCTAACAAAATCAAAATTTACTTATAACTAAATTTTAAATTTAGGATCCTTAATGTCATTATAATATGACTTAATAAGAAAATAATAATTCATTATAAAATTGAGTTTATACCTGAAGTTGTCTTCCCCTTTTCTACCCCCGCTTCAACGAAACTCTAAAGTTGTAAGAGTAAACATTAGGATTTTCATTTCATGACCTAATTT